ACAAAAGATATTATTATTCTTTCCTAAATCTCTTTTCATCAATTTTAAATTTTAAATATGAGATCTTTAACATAAATTTTCAAATTTGAGACACCCATGAAAGCTTAATTTTTTTTTTTTCCAAAAATGATATATGTAACATTGTAACCTAAAAAGTTGTCGAGGGACCAGGAAGTACAATGATTAAGAAACTATTCAAAGTTGGGGAAATAGAAGCAGAGAGATTCAGCAGCCAGCTATATACAGACTACGGAGCACTTCAAAGATTGACTATAGAGAAAATATCAACGCTACAATGAAAATGAAACCTAAATGGGTAACACACATGGTCGAAAAGGGCCACCTCCTCTGCCTCTTGGACTTGACACAACTGTTTGCTGTTGGGTTGTTACATATGCAATCAACTTGCTTCACGAAATGAGCCAAATAAGTTCAGTTTGTACTAGCAAAACATATTAATGACTTAATGGTTTACTGGAAGATCTCAACTAACTCCCACTTAATTTTTTAATTTTGAGTTGCATAATAATATTTATAATTATTTTTTTATATTTTTATTTACTCACATGTTATATGACTCAACTATAAAAGTTTTTTCTCTAGAAATAAAGATTCCTTTTGAAGCATGTAATGATGTAAATGATTGCTACTAAAATATATAATACAAGTTTCATGGATGTTAAAAAAAAAAATAAAGGGGGAATTCCAGATCCTAAAAAATTTTACAGTTTGAATGTATGGCTGAATCCCACATTTCAAGTAGTGCCCCGTGAATTCCAAATCTCTAATCAATCAACGATCTAATCTCACAGAAATGATTATATATATGAAATATTTTGGCCCACAAATCTAATCATTTTGCTGGCAAAAAAAAGAAGGGGAGGAAATCTAATCATTTTGAACAAAATTAAAATCAAATTTATTTCAGAATTACATTTATTCAATATTCTTGGAAGTCAAATTCAAGTTTCGATCTATTGACTTTTCTCAGTCATTTTTTTTTTTTTTTGGGGCCTTTTGCTCAGTCAATCACTTCATAACGGTGAAAATGAATGTAAGCCAGCAAAAAAAGTGTGCTTTTTATGTTTTCTTTTTGAAGTAGATGAGCAGACATGCATATGCCAGCCGATTTCTTCTTTTATATATAAATATATATCTCAATCATTAAATGTTAAAAAAATAAATAATTAAAATTTTATATAAATATAATATATAATATTTATATGTAAATAATTCTCTACTTATATATGTATGTGTGTATGCATGTAAAATGAAAACATCTTATAATTAAGTCTCTAATAATGGTACTTCCATATTTTCGTTGTAAAAAAAAAAAAAAAAGTGTAAACCTAAGAAAAAAATTGACAATTCTGTATTAATCATTTTCACTAACGTGTTATACAATTAAAAAAAAAGTCATTTTTATATTATTTATATTTTACTCCACTTATGTATTATATGATTTAAATCTAAAATGTTTAATTTTTTAAGATATGATTTTCGCAGAAAATGAAATTATTAATAAGTTAACATAATCTTATTCAAATATAAAATTAGAAATTAGAAATTTTTGGGTAGTATTTGACAGAAGTCCATGAAATTGAAAATGGAAACATCTAGATTTCGTATTCTATAGATAGAAACACAAGCAACAAAAATTAGTGCATGTGGGAACACTTGAAAATACTTCTATGTTTAATAATTACTTTATAAATATATATATATATATTTAATACTGACTATTTTGATCAACAACCTAAATAACTCAATGGTCATCTGCTTTTGTTAGAAGTAAGAGATCCTGAGTTTGACTCGCATGGCATACGGGTGGGGTAAGAGATGAAGATAATTATTTCTCATCGTGCAACTAAGATAAAAAAATATATATATTGACCATTTCGTTAACTGTTATTTATTTTGATTTGCTTCGTATATTAATTCTCTAGTCAGAAGACATATATACTCATAACCTAATTAAAGTTGGACCAACAAACCCTAAAATGTCATGGATATATGGTTGGTGATTTTCTGTTTCCTAATTTCCGCACTTAATCATTGAGTTTTGATAGTTGAAGTTGATTTTATCACTAATATAAAAAGCTTTCATACCTCTATAACAGGAATTCGAACTTAGCCGTCCCATACTTATTTCTTTTCTTTCATAGGTTTAAATCATTTGCTCTAATATATTAAAAAAATCCATGTCTAACCCAAGATGAAGACGTTTATTTTGCTTGGATATATAGTCTTATAATTTAATTAAATGCTAAAAAACCCGCAGGAAAAAAAAAAAAAGGAGAAGAGAAAAAAATGCTCTTCATCCAAAAAATATTACCACGCGAAGCATCATACTGTGCGGATGGGAGAGATTATTGAGATGCAGAATTGCAGATTTGGCACTGAGATATGCATGAACATGGAGAGAGGGTGGGGACTTCGTCATGTGTCATGGTTGGTTTGTGTAACTGTGTTACTTTCATACCTTTATTATCACAATAATGGAATGCCAATATGAATGATATATATATATATATATATCCACTGGATATGCAAAAAATTCAGCTAGATTTCTACTCTAAATAGAATGCAATCAAACTGTTGACACGTCCTTCTCATCCCCTTTTGTTCGGGTTTCCGTTTCTTGATACCCATACAGCTGTCATCTCAATTAAAGTCATTGATCAAGAAGGATGGAAGTACGGTATTATAGAGATAATTTTTTTA